CTCTGTTCCAGTGAGGTGAGAAGTTATGATGATAACAAGCATATATTCAACATTTATTGTGTGCCAGACTCAGTTCTAATCACTTTACATTTAATCCCTAGAGGTATGTGAAGACACAGACACTGAGAGGTTAAGCCATTTGCCCAAGTTACACAGTAGGTGGTGACAGAGCAGGTATGCAACCCCAGGAGGACTGCCTCCAGAGCCCTGAGTTTAACTACTATGTTATACTGCCTCATGCCCAGTCAAGAGTCATTCGCTGGATGGATAACCAAACTGCACAATCAAATCATCAATCCTTAAAATCATCTTTAATCCTTCTGAATATCCCAACTCTCCTGTGAGTATCTTCAGTAACCCTTGGTTTATGCTCATTTTTGAATGCATTTTCCTGTTTCCCACCAATGTCTCTACTGAGGGCAATCAGGAGGCGGTACTGAAATGGAAGTTTCCAGGAAGAATGGCATAAGTCAACCACAAGTTATACAAGTGAGCTCTGGCCAAGATGCCACTTCTCTTCAGTGACGCAATTTTGGAGTAAGGGTTGTTTAGGCAACAACATAACCTTGTAGGTATTTATAAAGATTATCGGGTTTTTGTTACTTGAAACGCACACATCTTAAGTACTGAAGTATTTCATACAGTCTTATGTCATTACTTTCAACTTGAGTAAGTTTCCAACAAACTGGGTCTTCAGCCAGTTTTTCCACTATGGCCTCACAAATAGTCTTCCCATCCCCAAGAACACAAGTTTTCCCTATTGCTCCAATTATAATCACGAGGAGAAACCACTTTTAAGATCTGGCTTTCTTTGCACAACTTCACAAACATCCTGGCCATTCTGGTATCTTCAGTAATCCAACCTCCCTTAACTTTGTTAACACAAAAAACACCATTTCATAAAACTTCATGTATTCCACAGCATTCATCCCCCATATCAGATAAAAGCCTGTGTCTGAAGTTTTCATGTTAAGTGTTAACAGTATCCTTTGTAATTATCAGTCTGATTTTGTCATATAATCAACTCATCCTTAGCTAAAGAAGACCAATGATGCCAAGAAAGTTGAGTGAAAATTCCAGACAAATGAATTCTTCTAGAGCTATCTTTTAGGAGGGCATTTTAGTGAATACTTAGCCAAAGAGGAGCATGCAACAAACATTAAACCTGCAAATTTAAGAATGAAGTAGGAGAAAATAAAACGCCTCATACCTGCAGACCAAATGGCAACAGCTTGACAGAGCTAGTCTAGTACTCATAACTGGACAACCACTGAAAGGAACTGGTAGTCTAACAGTCTAATACAATACTTCTATTTCCCTAACCATCCCAATCCCAGTGCAACGGCACACACAGAGAAAAGGAGATGATATTCTTCTTCAATCCCCAGGGGCTTGGACAACAAAGAAGAATGCCAAGGGCATACAATATTGCTAGAAATACTTTAGGGGTAGAATGAAAGGCTCTGCCTCAGTGTCCACTGGCTGTCCCCTTCTCCTAGTCAGAGATGGAGAAGGTATGATCTGATAGACCTCTGTTGGAAATACTTTCCCAAACAGACAGCTGCTGGCTAAGTGATGCCCTGATGGGTGTTCCTGCCACAATGCTCAGTACTGATGCCTCCACACAGGTGCTGGGAAAGGACTGGAGTGGCCTCGGTTATTGTCCCGTGTAACCTCACTAAAGCACACACAACCCACAATATTTAATGAAGCAAGCCAGCAGAAGGCTCTTTGATTTCCTTCCCACTAGACCTCCAAGTATAGTCAATGATAAAATAAAGATATATTCACATTAAGAGTCACAATAACAAAGGTTATGAAAAAATAAACTCAAAAGGATTCAACAGAAACCTCCTCCTAAGTATACACACACTCGTGTGGACTTGACTCCAAGGTGCCCAGCAGATCCTGGTGACTGGGAATCTGTACCAATCTGGCCTGTAAGTAAAACTTGGAGGAGAAGGAAAATGAGTGACTAGACTGACATTTCATCTTCCACAAAAACTTGCTTTATTCACTCTGAGGAGTCGAGACTTCTCACATTCTTATGTCTCTCGTAAGATTCTGAACTACTGTGTCAGAGTTTGATCCACATCCATTTCCTTAAAGAAATAGTTTTCATGAACTCCAGATATAAAAATAAATTATTTTCCTAGAATTCGGACTGGAAATTACTTGTCACATGGTGGAGCAGGAGGAGATAATCATCTAATTTCAGGTATTCTACATATATTATTCACCAAAAGTCACTGCTCAAAAGTAATGTCATTCCTCAAGAAGCGTTGCCAACTACCCTGTCTAAAACTGCCCCCATCCCACATTCTCTCAATACTCTGCTTCATTTTCTTTACAGTATTTAGCACTATCATATATTGTATTACTTCTGTCTACTTGCTTCTGATCTTCTTTTTCCATTAAAACAGAAGTTATAGTCTGTTTTGTTCACTCTTATATCCCCAGCATCCAGAAAGATACCTGGCACATAGCAGCTACATTTAATTCACATCAGGACCCCATGCAGTAGGTACTGGCATCATCCCTCTTACAGAGGCAACTGAGGCTGAGGGAAGTTAAAAAAACTTGCCTGAGGTAATCTAGGTAGGAAGTAACATCTGACTCCAGAATCTGTACTCTTCTTTTCTACGCTATACTATCAAAGTACAAAACTTTTCCCAGATTAAGATGATGAAAATGTTCTAGAAATGGTGGTGATTGGTGATAGATACACAACACTGTGAATGTACTTAATGCCACTCAACTGTATGCTTAAAACTGGATAAAACAGTTTTAAGTATTATTTTGTGCATATTTTACCACAATAGAAAACAATTCCCCTGGAGATTCCATTCTCAAAAATTTTTTCCATCAAAAAGACTTGCACACACCCTGAGTTGTGTTAAAGATTATTAAGAGAATGCTCAATGGATCATGTAGTCTGTGCAGTTCAGCAAGAGTAGATTCTGTTGTGTGGCAATGCTAGCAGTATGCCCTCTGTCCCATGGCCAAAGGGAGAATAAAAATCTAGAAAATGGGATTGACACAATAAGAATAAGGATATGTACGATGTTTTATTAAGGAATAACTCCAGTGGATATTGAAAATGAGATCAGACAAAAATTTGAAGTTTATATGAGAGAACTCCTTAGGTGATCCATGAGTACCATATAAGCTTTCATCTTTCTTGGTCTGAGATTATAAAGTTCTAGAAGGTAGGGGCTGTCTCTTACTTGTACTCTTGCACACAGCGCCACATAGTACCCTATGCATGAGGATGGCTACCTGTCAAAAACTATCTAACGCTTGGAAGAATTCTGGCCTTGCTCCTGCTTTGTTCTGGTGTCCCATTCACCGGGCAAGGATCAAGCTTCAGGGATATCTGTAAGTCACTCCTCATCACACTGCTTGAGCAAATGAGCATTTGCCCAGATGTGGCTCCAATAGAAGACCTGTCTACAAATAGCCTTGCTTTTAAAGAAGGCTGCCCAAGTTCTATTTAAGACCACTCTCTAGGGGGAGGGATACTTTAGGCAGGATTTTTTGCTGGGGTGGAGGGAAAGGGCAGTTAAGAGGTAGTACTGGTGTTTGGCTCTTCCACTTACGTTTCCAGCACTCACTGTTTTTAGTAAAGTGACCCAGGCCTTAATGACTATTAACTGAAAAGAACAAGATACTTATGAATTAAATGAGCATTCTCAAATTAGGACAGATTGTCAGAATGGAATCGATTATACGCATACAGATTGGGACCTTCATTCTTCCTTCCCAAAGTTGGCAGGTAGCACAGTTTCTGGCACATAATTCGTGTTTATTAAATGACCGACTCAACGACATACACTGGGCAAATCAGTCTACGAGAAGCCTGCCAAATTCAAGGGATATGGTCCTAACCCAATCACTCTCTGAGGCCCTGGCGGTGTTTATAATACTAACAGCTATGGATTCATGAAAGTTTCCTCTAATTAGTGCTTGCTTCCAACACTGACAGCAAGTCATCTCCATACCCACAAAGGGAGAACACGGCCAAAGGACAGAAAAGGGTAAGTGTAATGAGCCATGCTGAGCGAAACGAAGCCGATGAAAGGGCATTAGGCTACAAAAGAGGAAGAGTTTTCAGGTAATAGTACTCTTCTCTGGCAGAGCCTTCTTTAAGATTCTGGCTCACTGCATTTGCACTGTTAAGTACAGGCAGTGGTTACATAAAAATCCAACTACACCACTAAGCTTCCTTTTCCCACCTTACAGATAGAGAAATGGAAGCACCAGAGAGAAAACTAATTTTTCAACGGGAACACCATGACAAGAAGGATTCTATCCATTAGTAATCCTTCCCCAAAACTACCAGACAGGGTTCAATTAAAGACCCAAATGACAGGACTAGTGGCAAGCTGAATACCTCTAGATGGTTCAAATGTAAGAACAGATTCAGATTCACCAGCTCTGACTATATGCAGCCAAGGACTTGAGTACACAACTCCAACTGGCAAAGAACAATGATAAATGCAATAGACACGAGCAATCTGAACCTCTCTCCTCCCTGATGGCCCTCTTGCGAAAGTGGCACATGCAGGCAGGACCTGAGTGCCATGGGAGTTGCCATCAGTGGACTTCACCCTAGGTCCGGGTGTAAGTACTGAGCTAGAATCCCTGTGCCAGGCAGCTCCTTGGGTCACAGGATCTCCATCAGGATCTCCATCTCAGTCACATTCCAAGGGAAGCACTCCAGATCTGTCATTTTTTCCCATCTACTGTCTTTGGAATCTAGTCCAACTGCAATTGGGTTCTAGTTTTAAAAATATACTCTGTACCCATTAACTCTTCTAGAGAAACCTTCCCAGACTCAAATTTTAAGTTTCTCCTCACAACTGCTTTTTGGTTGGAATGTGGTATGCTCCAAAGATGGATTTCTCCTACCTTTCCAAAGTGAAATCATTTGAAACCCCCCCTCCCCATACATAAAAAATATATCCTTCCAGCATCATTTGACCGAAGTATAAAGCAACCTGGTTGGCCTCCATGCATCCGATGGCATCTTCCAAGAGTGAAAACTCCACGCAGACATAGCCATAGTCGTAACCTGGGGACAGCATTTAAATACAGACGGGAGTGGTGTTAGTGCCTTGCAAACACAAAAGACACACTTAAACCCCCTGCTTCTGAACCCCTTAAATGCAAGCCCTCCCAACTAGCCCCTCCCTCCCCTACACTAGGCAAAGCTGCTACTCCAAATAGAAAAAACAATGAAGAAAGACTGGATGTTTCTGGACTTTGAGATTTATTCCAAAATGACTTTTTCTATAAACCAAGAAGATCCTTTGCCCTCTTTAGCACTGATGATCCGGCAAGGGTGTCCCAGGATTGGGTAATCCCACAGAAAGTTCAAGTGGGGACCCGAAACATTTTAATCATAGGCTGAATCTTCTGGAAAAACAGAGTCAATAAGAGCAGGAAAATATCTGGAAAAAAGCATATCCTGAGAGAAGAGGGAGAAGCAATTTATCCCAAAGCTATGCTAACAGAGTCACCACTTTTTAAGCAGAAACCACCTTCAAAGACAGAAGTGCTGATACACTGAGGCAACTATTCTGTTTGGATACCACAGGAGGCTTCTGGTTGGCAGGGGACAGACCATTTCAGGTCTCCTCTTTTTTTCCTCGTTTCAACTCAAGTCATAAGCCAGCTAAAATCTTTATGAAAGGAAGAAGGTGTAAAAGCATAATTAAGTACAAATAGTTGGTTCCAAAATTGTGCTTATGCACAAAGACTGGTGGTGGGGTAAAATGGGATACAGCAGTTGTTAGCAATCAAGCCATGTTCAAAAACTGTATATACCATTGGAGTTATAAAATACCCTTCACCTCTCTCCTGAGCAAATGTCATTTGCAGCATAGGCTGTGGCTCTCATGACCCATGAGAATGGGAAGTCAAAGGATTTACAGGTTGCTGAACTCTAATACTAACCCATCCTATAATTTCCCTGGTACCGCCACTACACGACTACAAAAACAGACTTGTTGATGCAATGCTGCACAAATGGCTTCCATTCTTTCTCCACTGCCTCATAGGATAAAGAACCTTATCTCTAAGAGTGATGCTGTGCAAGTGAAAAACCAAGAAAAAAGTGTGATTTGTTCAAAACTTAGGGAAAGAGAAACAACACAAAACCTATGACAATTTAGAGCACAAAGTATGTAAAATAGGAAACTGGTATCACTGAAATAGGCATCAAAACAATCAAACGAACACCAAACCCACCGCTGTTGAGTCGATTCCGACTCACAGCAACCCTACAGAGCAGAGTAGAACTGCCCCATAGGATTACCAATGCTATAAATCTTTAAGGAAGCACACTGCCACATCTTTCTCCCATAGAGTGGTTCGTGGGTCTGAACCGCCAACCTTCTGGTTAGCAGCCGAGTCCTTTACCACTGTGGTACCAGGGCTCCTTCAAGGCATCAAAGCCCCCACACAAAAAACAAAAAACCAAAACAAAACAAAAAAACCAGGGCAATAAAAAAGCTTAACCTAAGGAAAAAAAGATTAAAGTTGGTGATAGGTTGGATTCCTTGTCACATGGAATGAATGGCCTGAAATGTCTTATTACATAGTAATAAAGCTTTGATTGTAAATTTGTCAAATACTCTTAAGTTCATTATGAAATGTTGTAATGATATAGGTTGATCCTTGCTTTGAGTTTTAGGAACTGATCAGGAAAAAGAAATGAAGGCTACTAGAAATCTCAGCACCACCTTAGGCTGACCAATTCTCTATCCTAGTTTCACAGCTCTGATCAGCATAGATTAAAACTAATTCCTCCAACTTCTGTTTAAATTTATCACAAAATCAATCTATTTGAAAAATTAAATCTACTTTAGAGAAACAGCGTATGTATTTGTATATACCCTACTAACGATGGAAATGGTTTTGTCACTAACTGCTTTCAAGAGAATTTTCTTGTATCAACTCTGAACACCTGATACATAAATTTTATAAATGGCTCAGAACATTCTTGGGAAACGCTGTAGAACAGCAGAAGCAACTAAGATGCCTTTTATCACCAAATATCTACTGCAAATACTCAAATACATGTCCACAGTCACAAAGGGCTAGCCCAGAATAATGGGCGAACTCTCAAGTGTGTTGATTACTTCTACAGAACATCTCAAAGGAGTGTCCAGGTGTGTGGAAAGAAACCCTCTCCATAGTTGCCAAATGAAAAACACAGGGAACTAACACCAAGGTGGCAAAGCCCTGAATTTCCTTTCTGTGCTTAAAGAAGTACCTACAGTGGCTCAGAGGAACCCACGGAATACATGGACAGAGGTGGAGAAGATTCACAATAACATTCATACTTTGCTCAAGGACAGACTTTGATACTAAGCACACTAGAAGGGAAAAGATACAGTCTGTAGAAAACATTAAGAGCATTTGATAGCATCTCTGTACATCAACTCTGCAGTACTACATGTTAACAATGCACTTCCGATTTAATATGAAACTCACAAGCCCAATAGTCAATTTCTTCTACCTGGAACTTAGTTATCAAACAAGAACAGAAATTTAAGGTTAACTTCTAATGTCCAAAACTTATTTAAAAAAAAAAAAAAAAAAAAAAAAGGACCCAGTGTTGATTCCAGGCATTTTGTGTGTTCAAGACTCATGGTTTACTATAAGGATTTTCAGGACTGGCCAACATATAATATTAATGATGCTGCTGCTAAGTAACATTTATATAGCAGTTGCTAGTATAAGGCTTTATTCTAAATACTTTACATATACTAACTTAATCCTCAAAACCACCATATAAGTTAAATACTATTAACCCCTTATTACCCACAGTGAAGCAGGGAAAGAAAGAATAAGTAATTTGTTCAAGGTCACCTCAACGGTAAGAAGCAAAACTAGACTTCAAACCCAGGTAGTCCAGATCCAAATTAATGCTACTAACAACTACACTCTACAGCCTCTTACCCTTTACCAAGATCCTGGACTCATTTAAGTAGTCTGAATTCCAAACTCTACAGAGCCCAATTACTACGCAATTGGATCTCACAAGCCTGAGCACAGCTGAGAACATGTCTATAGTTAAGAAATACTGAAATTAGTAGTACAACCAAAAGAAAACCCATCGCCATCAAGTCAATTCCGACTCATAGCGACTCTACAGAACAGAGTACAACCACCCCATAAAGTTTCCAAGGAGCACCGGGTGGATTCAAACTACCGATCTTTTGGTTAGCAGCCGTAGCACTTAACCACTATGCCAGCAGGATTTCCAGTAGTAAAACAGTTCTAAATAGTTCCTATTCGAAAATATCTATGGCAAAACCATTGCAAGTAGGTCCAAGTAGGCAAGTTAGAAAGCATTTACTCTTTGGGCTGACTATACTGGCTAAAAAAATTCTTCTAAAAAGACAAGAACTAAAGTCTTTTTGTAAAAGATAGTTATACAAAATTATGGAGCAATATGGAAAGATACTTACAGTATAAGCTTTAAAAATAAACACACCCTTGAAGACAATTATGTAAAATGTAGATAGGGAAAAGGACTGGAATTAAATTCATTGATGTCACATCTAACTCAGAGGTTAGAGACAAAAGTCAGCACGTGAGATGAAAAGCATGCATTGTCAAAATCATACCTGAAGACCCCATGGTGAAGAACAACATACCATCTCTCAACATAGGTTAAGTCCAACACAGCCAATTTTTCCTCTAGCATTGCAACAGATCACTTTTACTTCAGTTGACACCAGATAAAGAGGTTGGCTTGCATTTAAGGGCCACAATGTATGAAAAATACATCACTGTAAACACTAGGATCACAGCCAGCACACTGGATACTCACCCTCAGAGAAGCTAAGAAACAGACCGAATAAAGCTGAAGGAACCACATCCCCATCTCTCAAGCTCACTCCATGAGAGGGAAAACAGGATGTGGGATGGGGGAGGGTAGAGCAGTACAGGTGAGTGTTCAGAAGTCTGCAATGCATGCAATGCAACACAGCTATATGCAAAAATGATTACAGTGCTTGTATTACTATAATGGGACAAACAAGGATTTTTTCTTTATTTCCCAAATGTAATTTTATAATTCACAGAAAAAACGCTAGGAGGCACAGAAGATACTCCACCGGACCTAAACATTCTGAAAATGGACAACCAACCTTGCACTCAGAATTGCTAGGAGCCTTAGGTAAGGATTTAACAGATCCTTACCCAAACAGAGTAACAAAAAAGTCTACTTAATATCATTTCCTGTCCTGTACATTTTCTGGGAAGAAGTCTGGTGGGCTGATGGGTCTTTGTACTATTTATATGACTATTAAAAAGTATACCTAATTCCATTTTCCAACTGAAATGTACAGATCTCTCATAGAAATGTGAGTACTCCTTAAACTTTTTTAGGCAGCTGAGAAGGATGAGAACAGAGCAAGGGAAAGAAAATCTATAAAGGTAACATTAAAATGTTACTTCTTCTCCATCTTCACTGCCCATGTGGTTGCCCTTTCCCCTAAAAGGCATCTGTGATGAAAGCTAACGAGGTGCTTAAGGGGGAATAAGGCATAGAAAACGAAGCCTTGATGAATAATACCCAATCCTAGAACTAACTCTTCAGTCTTTCCCCCTAAACAAGCTGACAGTGATGACAAGCTGACAAGCAGACAAACATGGCCCCAGATTGTTCAAGTCAATTGTTAGTCCATATCAGACCCAGCTTTCAGAGCAACTACACAGCAATATTTAGGCAAACGAGATGAGTAGCCCTACCTTCAAACTAATCTAGAAAAATTCAACCTACAAGGTATCAGTTGACTTTGAAAAAGCCCAGAACATACACACTACTAAATGTAAAAGGGGATAAAGATTTTAAAGGACAAGGGGTGGGGGTGGGAGGTTCTTTATTTGGGTATCTTTGAAGGAAAAGAAAACACAGCTCTTTTTCCTGTAAACAAAGGGTACTATTTCTGTGGGAACAAAGCATTATGGATATAAAAAGCACCATGAAAAATCTTAATAAAGATTCGAGAGGGCTTCATTCTATAGGTCCTGTTTTCCTAATTTCATCTCAGTGGA